GCTATAAAATTATTTATTGTATGGTAAGAAATTTTTAAAGGGTGAGAGATGGAGTTTCGCAGGTGACCAGAGCACATATCTCTGTAATTGCTGAGTTGTTTACAACATATGCTATTTTTTTAAAAATAAGCACATTAAGTATTGATGAAAGAAGCCAGGTAGAAAGCCTACTAGGTAGAACATAGGCAGTGTGGTTGCTTCACTGCATTTAAGTGCCTCAACCCTGATGTGCATTAGCAATATCTACCGTAATATAGTCTCTGTCACCATTCATCCCTAAGCCTCTGTTGAGACTTCCAGTTGTTATGCCAATTGTGCTGATGGGTTTTGTCAGGCAGACAACAATCCGAAAGGAACTGAACTATTATTGCCAACTAATTTCACATAGGCCACTGCCCAACCATGGGATGCTGACTTTTAGTCAATACACACATGGGTCTAATTCAAACCTGTTCCATATCTAATCACCCTTAAGAATTAAATCCTCCATAAATGCAGAATTTTCGCTGTGTTGAATAGCTAAAGAAAGAGCCAACTAAGTAAGTGTGTGTGTGAGAGAGAGAGAGGAAGAAGGAAAAAAAAAAAGAACCTCCTCCTTCCTAGTACTCAGGAGAGGGGAGAAGAAAAAAACCAAGATTTCCCCCACCAGCTTGGAGTAGAGAGAGTAAACAGCATCTCGAACAATGTGTGTGGAAATTTCACTCTCTCAAAAGTAAATGGTAGGTGGGGAAACCAGACAGGTCGGGGGCTGGGGGACGCAGGAGAGAGAGTGCAGCCCCCACAGTCAGGAGAAGGGAGAATATTTACATCTCCAGGAGATTGAAGACAATTCCATCATAGCTTATTCTGGAAGAAAGGTGTGTGACTTGATGTAAGTTGCATCGTTTGTATGGAGTGTCAAAGAGGTGATCCTAGTTCAGTCTTCATCTGAATAAAAGGTAATCCGTAATCCAATAAGGTTATTGGAATATGAACTGCTCAGTCTGTCCCATGATATTGAGGGAACAGATATCGTCAATGAGTTTAAGGGAAGGATGATGTATATAAAGACAGCTTTGGTTGTCAGAACATGGTGTGCCTATAGGAACCTTTTTTTCTCTAGCCACATGTTTATTACTTTTTTTCTGTCAGAGGTGTTATGGAATATGTCTTGATAATTTGCTTTCTCCCCATTGTTTTGCTCAAGTTAAGTGCTACATCAAATTGGGAAAGAGGCGAGTAGAAAAACACTAGCAAAGTTTATTATAATCTTGGTGCAGTTTTAAACTGTATCATCATGACTTCTCTGAGCAACAGACTTTATTATTGTGTATGTCAGGCTAGCCAGGGTTTGTCTCTGAGATGTACTTTTGATTGGTTTAAATATGATCCTGTTATGTACTGTTTAACTGGGATACCAGGTGTCTGCTATAGGGTTGGGAAATAGACAATGGATTCTTTTTAAACATTATTTTAGCTAATATTTTATTTTGCACATGTGTCTAAATTTGGAGACAGCTGTGCTGAGGACAGAGCTGCTGAGAATGACGCTGACATCCTAGTTGGTTAAATCAAGGTTCTGATAGTTCAAGCTTCTCAGCTAACCTCAACTGCTGTGGTGGTACACAGGCAACAAGGCAGTCACTCGGGGACCCAAACCGTGTAGGACGTTATAGCACATCAACATCTTTTCATTCTACCCAGAAACAAACAGGAAGTTGCTGCAATTGTTGGAGAAAAAGTAATGTGGTCCCTGTGGTCAATATCCTTTTGATTCCTTGACTCAGAAGGATTAAGAAAATCTATCAACCTAAGAATTGGGTGAAACTGCTTTGGTTGCATTAGTTCATGTTCTTGTCCCACTAATGGACAAAACTGAAAGGGTGAAATCCTGGCTCCATTGAAATCAATGGTAATTTCAACTGACTTCAATAGAACCATGATTTCACGCTAAGTGTTTGTCTGTCTTCTGAGTGTTTGAGATTTGTTCTTAATACCTTAGACTGTAAGATTTTGTTGACTGACTTTCAGCCTCTGACAAAGTTGTGTGGAGTTACTCATGAGTGGCTCTGTTCTCATTTTCTTGTTAAAAGCCAAAGGATAGTTGTAAACAATTTTCAGAGTAGCAGCTGTGTTAGTCTGTATCCGTAAAAAGAAAAGGAGTACTTGTGGCACCTTAGAGACTAACAAATTTATTAGCGCATAAGCTTTCGTGATCTACAGCTCACTTCATCGGACGCATACAGTGGAAAATATAGTGGGGAAATTTTATATACACAGAGAACATGAAACAATGGGTGTTACCATACAGACTGTAACAAGAATGATCAGGAAAGGTGAGCTATTACCAGCAGCTATTACCCGCTTTCCTGCTGGTAATAGCTCACCTTTCCTGATCACTCTTGTTACAGTCTGCATGGTAACATCCATTGTTTCATGTTCTCTGTGTATATAAAATCTCCCCACTATATTTTCCACTGTATGCGTCCGATGAAGTGAGCTGTAGCTCACGAAAGCTTATGCGCTAATAAATTTGTTAGTCTCTAAGGTGCCACAAGTACTCCTTTTTTTTGTAAACAATTGTTTTTGCGTTATAAAGGTTCTTTCCTGCAAGATCACAGGATCTATATTGTTTCCTCTCTTGTTCAACCTGATACTTCTGAGACGTTTGGGAGGAGACCTGGACTATAATGATTTCACAGTATGCCAGTAACTCCCAGTGTGCACTCTATCATGTCTGACCCAGCTGGAGCAGAATTGTCCATTGTCCTGGACATGTGGAAGAAAGACAAGTGATGTGGTTTAATTAGGGCACAACTTCATTAACAAACTCTCCTGGGAACTACCCAGGAATGACTCATTCAGTGGAGGTCATGATTCCTTCCTTAATCATTTCTCTTCAATGAAGGGCTGCCATCAGACCACCACACCCTCCACAACTGGTCCCACCGTTACTTGGTTCCACTGCCTTCCCCTCATATAAGGGTTAAGGGGCTAAGGAAAGCGCATTGATTCTTCATTGTACCAGACATTTGGAACCCCAAACCCATTCCCCAGTGTCTCTAGGGGATGGATGCCTTCTCCAAAATCCACTTCCAACTCCAGTTTATCAGGGAACTAACCCCCCCATGGAATGAATATCTGAACACCTGCCACCAGGAGGGACCAGCAATTAACTTGGCTGCCTTTCCCCATCTCTAGATAGGTTCGTAGATAGTTATCCATTCCCTCCTTAACACTGGCCAAAAATATGTATATGCTCCCCAGGTGAAGAAGTGATGAAGAATAATTCAGCTACCCAGTTCAATATTTTTGGTGGGTAAGTATTGATCCTCCCTATTCCAGATAATTCACATATCTTTTGGCCTTGTAGCTCACCACCATACCTGTGGCTACAAACTTTGATACATCCCTGGGAAAAGATCCTGGACCTGCCCTATATATCTGTGCCCTGGCTGTCAAAGATTGTAAGAGGGCAGCTTGTCCTAGAGCATGCCCCTTTTATCATGCCAACTCAGATTTGCCTAGCCACCAAGACCCACTTTGACCCTCCCAATATCACTAGCTGCCCAGAGATGCAAACATCACTTCTCATGACTCATTCCCTCTCTTCCCCTAACACACCCCTCCTTGTCTATTTTTCAAAACAACTTGGGCTTAGATGAGAGCTAGCTGGCTGCAACTTCATCCAGACAAAACAGAGTTGGAATGGGGGATACAGCTGGAGGAGTTGTTGAGACATATGTTGGCACACCTCACTGAGGGATGGTAACCACCATTTGTAAAACAGATGCACAGCTTTGTAGTGTTGTCAAATCCCAGGCTGCCTGTGGATACGGGCAGCAGTTGTCATGAGGATGTCTTTTTCCAGTTGCATTTGGTGAGAAGAGGGCGATCTTTTCCCTCTGAAGTGGACCTTGCCACAATTATCTCTGCCTTTGTCACTTCAAGATTAGATAGCCCTACATACGACTGCAGTTTGTGACCATTGAGAAGTTGAAGCTAATGCAGAATGCTGCAGCATGTGTATTAAGTTAGGTACTAAGTTGGGAGCATGATAAACCTTAATCTTCAATTGTCCACAAAAATAACCCACCAAAGAGCAATAAACAAAACAGTCAATAGTGCAGCACCTAACCACCCTATACATTGAGCCAATGTCAGTGGCTGTTTATGTACGTTCTATATGTAGCAGAGTTTTTAACAGTGAGGGTACTTAACCACTGAGACAACTTATCTAGGGATGCGGTGGATTCTTCATGAGTAGAATTCTTCAGATCAGAACTGAATGTCTTTTAGAAAGAAATGTTATAGTTATAGAAGTTATGGGGTTGATAAAGAAATTACTGGGTGAGATATTTTTGACCTGTGTTATGCAAGAGATCAGATTGGATGATCATAGTGGTTCCTTCTGACTTTGGAAGTCTGTGAATTAGATTCTTTTGTTATTGTTTGTTTGCAAATGACAATGGCTTTAAACAGTTTTGGTTTTATCAAAATTTTAGTTTAACTTTTTAAAATTTTTTTTGTTTGAGTGACCATCCCAAAATAGCAGAAGTTTTGAATTGCATCGGGTATTCTTATTCCAATCTGTATTCCACCACAAAGGAAAAGTTATATAAAGCCCCATAAAATAAAGTGATAAAGCATCGAGTAATGATTGTTTTGTGGAACATTTTTAAAAAAATTATACTGCTTTCAAGGCTGAGGAAATGAAATTTCATTCATGTCTACCATATTGTATGCACATCCCATACAGTTCAAAGTCTTGTTTTAACACTTTAACACTTCAACACTGGGAATCGGGATTTCCCGACACAATGTGGTCACGAAAAATGAATTAGCACTGACGCAGAGCTCCTGACCTCCGTGGCGCCAAGGGGCTACATTTAGCCAATTTCCTGCAAGGAGCTAGGTCAAGGAAAGTTTCTCATTGATGCCTAATTTAATTTATATTACCACATTGCTTTTTTCCCTTTTACTTTATGGGAGTGACTTAAAAAAATACTTTTAACACTTACTTGAATATCGTTCGCTGGCCTAAAGTGAGATTAATTCCATTGCCTTTGTGCGTGCCCTGTTTGCCTGTAAAGTCAGACGTTTTGTTATTTCAGCAGCCTTCAAACATGTAATAAATAAATTTTCCACTGGGTTGGCACTTCCTCTTTACTTCCTGATGCAGGGGTTGATTGTTCTTTGCAACTCTCTCGGGATTTTATGAGCTTTCTCAGAATGACTGAATTGACCACAGATTCAACCAACGTACTTTTTAGACTATGTTCACACAGAAAACCCAATTGAGGCAATTTATAGAACAATAGTAACTGCTGCATATTGTCTCAGATCAAATGGATTCTCGGGTATAACAGGCAATGCAAATAATGATGGAATGTACTTTAAATGTTGTTGGGAATGGGATCTTAGAATCAGTTGCAGAAAGAGCCACCTATGTCAAAAGTTATATGAGAACATGCATAAAATAAGAACTTCTACCATATTTTAATTCTGTGATTAATTTTTTAATATGGTCACACAAGGAAGACATGCATATCACTGGCAATTTGAAAGAATAGCACACGCTCTGAAGACTTCACTAAGTCAGGAATATGCTACTATACACTGATCCTAACTTGTATCAGGATAGAAATACATATTAGTCATAATATAAACTAACAAAATAGTGTAACTGAATAGCTAAATAAAGAAAAATGCAATGCTAAGGATGCACAGTTAAAGCACAAAGTAAAGAAATGCAAAAGTTTATTCGGTCACATTGCACATCTTACAGCTTATGCTGTATGCTAAAATTACTAAATATTTTTCATTAAACAAAAAAGTAGAATAAAAATAGCTCCTACAGCCGATGCAGTGGAGTTCACATTGCTTATCTGAGATATCTTCCTCCAACTCAGCCCTCCCTCACAGGGTATATCTATGTTGCAGTCTGGGTGTATGATTGCAGCATATGCAGGCGTACCTCAGCTAGCCTAGCTTCAACAGTAGGGAAGCAGGGGTTTCATCATGGGCTCTACAAGCCCCCCCAGAACCCTGGGTACTTTGGTGGCTAGTCCACACTGAAGTCCAGGCTGCCATGGCTTCACTTCTAGTGGTGTACACACTAGCTAGATTAAAGCTAGCTCAGGAATGCCAACACATCCTACAGTTGCCATGTAGACATACCCTCAACAACTTGCTTCTTCAGCACCTCTTCTCTGCCCTAGCAGTTTTTCTCTAGCCCAGCACATGGATGGACTTCTGGAGCTTCAAATTCAGGATGTGATGTTCATCTGGCTCTATGAGGGCACTGGCCCATACCAAAGTCAGTTGCAGGATCAGGGCCTCAGTTTGTTTTATTATCAAAGCTTGTAAGCTTCTTGAACAAAGATCGGCACATTTCACTAGCTGAACATTCATGTTTATATCCACAAGAGATAGTTTGAGGAAAATCTCTATTGACAACAGTCTGTATGGAGTTTAATGACTATGTTTTACGTTTTAAAATCAAATCCAGTGTGTCTTCAAACCAAGTAGAGGCCCTCAGCACTGGTTATGTCTGTGCCAATTTCAGAGTCTGATTTCAGCCCTGTTTTACATAAGCCCAACTCAAAATAGTGTGATTAAATTTTTTTTTAACCCCGGGAAAAGTCATTTGTCCAGAATAGCGTGTAAAGGACCTGGACTCATCCTTTCAACCAACCAAACATGGAAAAATTCAGAACAATATTTTAAGTTAGGAGGGGATGAAAACCAACTTATAATGGAAACTGGTTTGCAACCTTAGCTAGAGTGGTCACTATTCTAATCACAACATAACTTTGTTTACACAGTCATACATACCATTGAATACTAAACAAGCTGCCAAAATAAATGGAGCACAATATTATTTATCCAAGGATGAATTCCCTAAAATTAACATTAACTTCCACTCTTGACCCTATGTTAGCTTGTGAACAAGATACCAAGATCCAATCCCAAATTGGAGTTGCTGTGTGACACTGTTAGGCTGCATTTAATGACTACTAATATGCCAGGAGTCCTTCCTCCCTTCACCTGTGGAGTTCTCCAAATTAGGTTATAATGATCACTGCTGTTTTAAATGTCTATGAACTTTTCCAAGCAAATTTTATTTCATATGTACCATATGATAATTAAGGATGAGTTAAAGTCAAATTCAGACCTTTTAAGTCAGCTATAAGTGCATGCAATGATAGTGAAGTCAGTCAAATTACAATGGTCTGAAAAGAGAATCAATCTGAATCTTCTCACCTCCTTTTTACATTACCTGAACCAAATTTTAAATACTTCAAGAAGTTTGAATAACAACCCCACCATCCCAGACTCCCTCCTTAATTTCTGTCACAGGGAACAAAGTTAATGAGGGAAGCTCACAACCTTCCAGTAAGTGTTTACTGGTACTTGGATATTGTTTGAGACCAGCACCTTGTGCAGCTTTTCCGTAAGAAACGCTCTGGGTTTTTTGTCTTGCGGTCAGTAAAATGAGTTCAAGTAAGGCCCAGCAGAGAGAGGCTACTGCCTTTACTGGGCCCCACTGTGACTGAAGTAAGAATACAAGAGAGAAAGTTGCACAATCACCTGGCTGCGAAGACAGCCTGCTTCCAGGAATGGTGGGGAGAATTAAGATGTTAACTGGCCTCTTGCCAGAGAAAAGCTGCACTTACAGTATCTCAGTCCTTATTTCCATATGCTCCCTTTAAGTGTGGAGAAAGGGCCTGCCACCACAGATCTTTAAAGGTTAAAAATGCCCTAGGAAGGGTTAGTTTTGAAGGGGGGAAAAATAGGGGCCTATGGGCAAGGAGCAGTCACCTATTTGATCTTTGGGGTGGTAATTGGTCCCTGTGTCTGCTTAAAGCTGAAATTTTGTTTCTCAGATGTGGTGTTTCCACATCAATTAAAAAAGAAAAGTACATAAATCCACAGACAGTTCTCCACACCTGGAGAGAGAAAGAAGAAAAAATTAAGTGTGATAGATGCTAGTCTGTAACTTAATGCACTGCTGAAAGGTGCTCAGACCCTGTGCTGATGGGCAGCAGAACAGAATGAGTAACCTGTGTGGCTTCTGAGCTCAACAGGTTACACAGAGCTTCTGCATGCTCTGCAGCCACTGAATCTGGATCTTTGTTTTGGAGACTCTCTCCAGTGCGGTCACCCTTTTGGTTCTGCTGAATTGACTAGTTCAGACAGCACTTGCTGTCAATGGCCATCAAATATAAGTATCTTAGAATTTAAAAAAAAGCTCATTATCACCCTGTTCCTAACTAGAAACTGTGCAATAGTAATGCCGTGACAGTGTTTAGCTTTGGGTACATAACGTCTTGTAAAATAAATCGCAAAAACCCCAGAATGAAATTTATAGCTGCCTAAAGCCAACACAATTATAAGACATGCCAGAAAATTGTCTTGGTTAAGATGAAGAACCCTGGGGGGAAATGGCATGCTAACTGCTTAGTGTAATGGATTTTACAACCATATGAAGTGCTGAAAGCATCACATAAAATGCATATGCTATTAAACTCTTGACCATACTTGTCTTTTGATAGGAAGACAAAAATATTCTTCCAAAAATTGTAATTCTCCTACATTTCTGGTGTTTTTATCTGCACATGCATTCCTTTTTGAAGCAGCCTACTACCTAAGGAAGTCCTATCAAATCAAAATGTACCTAAGGTTCCATCTTACACAATTTGTCACTGGATGAAAAACCTTTGCCAAAACTTGGCAAACTCAGGTGCCCAAAATTATGTATCCATAATTAGGTGCTTAACGGTAAACATGGATTTATGTGCTTAACTTGAGACTCCCAATTTCAAACTGTTGGCTCTTATGGGGGTATTTTGACTTGGAAAGGAGGGAAGACATTACTGGGATTATATAAACAGTTTTCTGACCTAAGGTCTGAATGAAATATTCTATTAAAAAAACCAGAATCTTTACAAGTGTTCGAATTATAACATAAATCATACATTTAAAAGTGAGTATGTTGCTCATTAGGATCTTCTAGGCAAAATCTTGATCCCATTGCAGTCAGTGGGAAGTCTGCCACTGACTTAAATGGACCGTGATCTGTCTGTTAGTGTCTCAGGCAATTGGCTAAAATCTACAGCTACTTCTGAAATCCATAGGTTTTTTTTTTTGAATGTCTGAAACATTCTCCTTTCACAGATAGAGAGGACTTGATTCTTTGCTCCCAGTCTGACTCCTTTCCACTGTGGTATCAGTGGAAGAGGTCAGAAAGCAACCGTAACTCAAGCATTTTGGGGACTCTCCTGGAATGGGGCCAAATCTCCACCATTCCCTTGGGGCTCCTCCCTTGCATAGGATCGTGTTTCCAATTGCAGGGGGCATGGTGTGTCTTCTGCTCTAGTGAATGGTCCCTGAAGGATCATGTACTGCCATCATACATTGGAGTAGCCCAGTTTCTAACTGGGATCTAGGGATTACAAAGGTGGTGTAAAGCCATTGCTGTCCTTAACTACTTGGGACCTATGCCAAGATAGGTTGACTGGACTTGAAAACCTGACACTTAAAAATCAAATAAATATGAAAATCAGGTGTGTTTTATAGTAAAATTAAGAGCTAAGCAATCATGTTACTTTTATACTGCTCTGTCACTGCCACTGATACTCAATCATGATGGAAACTACCTGCTCCTTAGGAACAGTGGACCCTGGGGATATTTTGGTTCATTGGCCTGATAGATTTCAGCCCTTTGCTTACTGGTCACTGGAACTAAACTAGATTCTCAATACACAGTGCCTCCACTTAATGTCCAGGGGAATATATTAATATACATTAATTTCCCTACAATCTCTAGGACATTAGGAATTAAAAGCAATCCAGGAGAAACCAGTTCTAAAAAGGAGTGAACAGTTCAGCTGAGGAAAGGACAAGGTTTAATTAAAGAAGTGGAAAAGATATGACTTGAAGGAAAAGAAAGAGGCAGGAGAATCAAGGGGAAAAGATGAATGACCAATTAAACGCACAACAATAATCAGACTCTCCCTCGAATAAAAATATCCCAATAACTAAATGTAATCAAAATGCCACATAGAATAAGAAGGCATGTGGGTGCAACCCCACCATTTATTTTCAGCTCTTGGTTGGTCAGTGGCACACAGATGGTCCATAGGAACACTGTTTTTTTGCTGGAGCCCTATAGGAGTGGCTGAACATATTTTTTTTACAGTAAAATGATCATAAGAACAAGGCAGTCTTGTTGCCAGTGTGCAATGTGGTGCCACATGTCCCTTCAGTTCTGAGTGAGCCTTCAGCTGGCAGAGGGCCCTCACGGATCAGGACTTTATTCACCCTCAAGCCATTTCCTAATTAAGTGAAGTAACTGCAGTTCTCACTGTTAAGGCAGACCTTTCATTTTGTGAAGCAGGTCCCCAAATCCTTCCAGAGCACTGAAAACATAAGAAGTGAGGATGGCAGACTGTTCTGTCCATCTCGCTATAAACTCTGGGGGCTCCTTTTCTCCCTGTTAGGTCCAGCTTGTGATTGGTGATTGCTTGGATGGGTCACTGGCTTCCTCTCCGAATCCCATCCTATCTGCTTTAAGGACCGGTCGCTGAGGGGGTTCTGGTCAGCCAGGACCCTTTGGCTGAAAGGCAAAATGGAATTCTCTCCCCTATGCAGCAGAGAACAACTGAGACGCTGTATCTCTTTATGCTGCTGGAAGCCAATCCTCTAACACTAAATAAACCACTCAAAGGGTAAATATCAGGGGTTTTTTTTTATGATATCCATTATCTACATTAACGAGCACATCAGTTACTACAAATGACTCACGGAATAAGTATGTGCTAAATAAAGAGAAACTATAGTTGTAAAACTTTTCATTCTGTACTCAAGCCTGGCGCATACTCTTAGGGTGAACCCAAGAAATAGAATGCTCCATGCAGCTCATAAATAGTGGCAGACATCCCACGTTTACCTATTTTTTTTTTAATACCGGATGAAAAAACGCTTGTACTTAACTTTGACACTCTAGCTTTGCAGGTGAAATGTGACTCAGGTGGATACAGCTCCATTTCCTTTTACATTGATGATCTGAAAGACAAGAAAGGAAGCTAAAGCAATTGAGGATAGGGAAAAGCACTGAAAATATGTACAAACATGAAAGTAAGGTCTGAACCTGCTTAAGCTTACTTCATGCTTTGTTTCTTTAATCAGTAAATATGTCAAATCCAGTCCCATAGAAAAGAAATCTAAATTCTTTTATGGCCCCAACATTAATTCCACAAAAAGAGCAAATACTTTTCTAGGACATAAGGAAGACTTTATATTAAAATCTTACTGACTTAGTTCCAAGAATCTTTGGGTTTCATTTTACAGTTATAAATGAAATAAACCAGCTTTACCTTTCCAGATTTCTGAATTGTAGCGATAGTTGAAATAATGTCAAGTGTTAATTCTTTGATACTCTGCCCTTTTGGGCAGGAATACATTAGGAATGCAACTTTAGGTCTAAAGCCTGTAAAGTCTTCTCCACATGGTTAACTTTAAGCATGTGAATAGTCCATTGATACAATGCTACCAGCTACATGCTTAAAATTTAAGCATATGTGTAAGTCTTTACAGGATCATGAACTTAATTACCATCTATCAGTGTACAAGGGAACTATTTTATTGCAACAGAAATTGATAAGGCAGATCAATTTTTAAAGTAAAGTCTCTTCAGTGACAAGACCATCATCTGGTTTCCCTCAAACCTCTGTCTGCAACTGTCTTTTTCCCCCTCACGTCAGGAACTGTCTATGAAGTTTGTGAATTATTTCGGACACTCTGTAGTAGAACAGCAAAGATGAATAAATTAGGAAATATCTTATGAATCGATCTACTGGATGTCTAATTTAGGGTTCCTACTCATTTTGACCTCCTTTAACAAATCAGAAGTCCTTGTCTGTGGCTACTTGGCACGTACCTGGTTTATTCTGAATCACCCAATCAGGTTTTCTTTGTGGATTTATCATTGTAAGCAGGCAGCATTTGCCAATAATTACCACAGTGTGGTATCTGAGATTCCACAGTTATTTCCTATTTCAAATATGGGGCAAAACTGTGGTATCTTATTTATGACTATGCAGTAACTGTTGGCAAATACAGTCTGTGTAACGGCGACCAATGAATGTTTTGAGTAGAGACAGAAGTGAACAAACTCACAAACACCACATGGTCCATGTTCAGGATGTTAACATTAAGAAATGCTTTTGAGTACAGCTCTACGCTAGAGATACAAAACATACATCTACTGTCAACTTAATAAGAAAGTTATTGTGTTAAACAGATAAACTAATTAGCACATAGCTTTGACTCTCAACCCCTAGAGCTATGTGTCCATTACATTGCTCGTAATCCATATTAAATATGTTATATGGTCAGTCACTTGATATTTATTATATAATGCAGAATAGATTTTCCATGCAGGATAATATGACTCCTGTTAATGGGAATAGCACAAATAAGTCTGCAAACCTTAAGCTTTCCGCTTATTCCTGTTTTGCTTTATATCTGAATTAAATAGTGGTTTGAAAAATCTTAATTGAAGACATTAATGTTTTTTGCATAAGTGTCCAACGGGAATTCAATCACTTGGCACTGCCGTTTGTGCTGAAACATTCGGGTAGGTTGACTACTGTGCAAATGTTAGACTAATGAATTGAATCTAATGTCATGTAATTTTCCTACATTTCTACTCTAGAAAGAAAACCAGGGCTTTGATCCAAAACCATCATGTTTCCTGTTTTGGACAAGTAGCTGTGCAGTTTTACAGTGCTACGTGGAAAGATGCAGCTGGGGTGACAGAGTTACACATATTATATAAGCAAATACTCTACAAGCCTGTATGTGGGGAAGTAAATGAGCAGGGAAACACTTTATGAATTGCCCTTTTCTGAAAAGAACTGAAACTCCTTATCAAGAGAGAGGCAAGGTGGGTGAGGTAATATCTTTTATTGAAACAACTTTGGTGCGCTCATGTCCTTGGACCAACACTGCTACAACACTGAAAACTACTTATCAAGGTCCATTAGTGTGTCTCTGGCCTTTGTGTTCTCATCAAAAATAGTGCTGGTTGCCCAGGGCACAACATTAGATAGTTTTTATTTTTTTTACTTTGGTTATAATTAAAATGTTATTGGTATTCTGCACTAAAGTGAAATGAAAGAAACTGTGTGTTCAGCAGAAGCAGTTTTCCTACCTATCCTATGTGAATTTAAGGGAGAAAAATCTTTTTGAGGGCTAAATTGATCGATATAGGGGTTAGCTTTTGTTGCTATTTATTTTCATATTAAATGAAATAATGTGTAGAACGGTATTACCTTGTGGTAATTGCTACACAACCTGCATATGCAGATCTTGCTTTCACTCTACTATGGTGAAGTTGTGCCAAGTAATTACCAGAAATGGTAGCTGCATGTTTTGAGAGAATTGTGAATATTTGGAACTTGAAATTTCCTCGCTGAGCTAACTTTCTGAGATAATGCTATTTCACTAACAGGGAAATCTGTGTGACATTACATTCAGCCTCTCTTTGTTAGACAGCTTAAAAACACTCTCTGCTACTGGAAGAGGAAGGAAGACTATGGGTAAATGGCGGGTTGTGGTTTCAAGACACAGAGTGGTGTAGAGAAGTGGCAGTAACAACAGTACAGAGTTAGGAAGAAGTTCAGCTGTGCTAGTGGAGTGGGGGTATGGAGCAGTGAGAGAAGCCTGGATTTTCTAAAGTTCAGTGCAGACAAGGTAGAAGTTATGACAGTAGGGAGAAGAAAGCATTTGGGCAGAGTGGCAGGTTTTGCTGTCCCAATTATAATAATGCTAATTCCAAGTATTCCAAAAAGCATGCAATTAAATAATTGGGTTATTCTAATTTGCCTTCTGGGTCCTGAGCCTTTAAGGTACACTTGGTCATCTTTTCAAGATTTTCCCTGAAAACAGGAAAGCTAGAAGCTGAAATTTGTATAGAATTGAAGTATACCAGGAACTGAAGCTTTAAGAAAAACAACAAATGTCACAAGACTCACCACAGAATCATGAGAGTTACCAGCACTGCTGTTATTGACAGGGTACATCCACCCATTGTGAATGTAATATGTGGTTGGCTTCTAGACCTCTGACTGTACCTGAACTCCATGGTAGCACTGCTTGATAGAAAGCCTTTTCCCATCTCCATTTAAGTTACATAACTGCACATACACTCTCCAATATGGGTCTTGCAACAGTAATCCAACTTCTATCATCTCCCAGCGAGATTACTGCTATATGCTCAACATGGGGCCACATTTGACTCCCACTCAGAAATTTCAGCTAATATTGCTTCCTGCTTGCTTTGCATTGTCAGTCATCGAGAACATATAACCTCTTCAGAAGCTTCACTGTTTCCTTATTTGTTTCTGGACACAATTCATTCAAAAAGGTTTTGATACATACAGTTCTACCTGGTTTCAATCCTGGGTACCAGGCATAGTGCCTTTCTTACCATCAACACTGTCTATGATAGAGCCAATAAATGTCTGAGAAAGGAAGCAGTGTTCTTGGTAGAGGGTTCTGGACTCTAGAACTCAGGGTCTGATGGCCCAGTCAAGGGAGCAGTTCTGGTAATCTTAAAAGCAGGGTGCAAGGCTTATCAATGAATTCATGCAGATCTTTCTCTGATCAGGTCGGGGATGAGACTATGGAAGACGTGGAGTTTTGGGGGAGAAAGTCCCTGTAATCTGTTTGACTTTTTGTTCTTTGTATAGGTTTTCTTTGCTTAAGATTTTGTTTACTGTAGAGAAGCATATTTTCTAAATAAAAAATGAATACATAAATAAATGTGAAGCAGTCCATTATATTGGCCAAAAAAAAAAAAAGAATATTCCCCTCTCTTCCTCCAGTTTGAAATGCAAATCTTTGAAATTTCCTTTTGATCTGAATCTCAATTATGGTCTGCAGCACGTGTCACTTACCTAAGTTTTCTTGATTATCTAAATCCCTGTTTATAGGAATATTCCCTCCAAAACATTTTTGAGAAAATATGTTGTACTGCAAGCAACAAAATACGTAAACTGTACTTTTAGTAAGAACATGATTTTTTTTAGCCTATTTTTAAATAGTAGTTTTGGTTTGGCATGTCTGGAATACTTACATATTCTTACTTTGTGCTCAAGGTAATCAGAATCCTTGGTAAATCTATTCTGAAGAACCCTCGAAATTAGAAATATATCATCTCTAAGTTCTTTTCTTTTCCCCAAACCATGAACTTTTCCAGTTCATGTCGAGTTTTGAAATTCTATATGCAGGGGTTCCAGAGTGCTGCCTATAGACAATAATGTTACCCTATTCCTCTTGTGAAAACATTGCTGCTGTCCTGCCTGGAAAAAAGTAGATTGTGGAAAGGGAGAGAACTGGCTCAAGAGAGACTGCACTAAGATTCTACTCCATACAGACTCCAACGAGAGACTGCTGAATTGGAATTAATTTGCAAACAGGATACAATTAACTTAGGCTTGAATAGAGACTGGGAGCGGATGGGTCATGACACAAAGTAAAACTATTTCCCCATGTTTATTTCCCCCCCAAACCCCCACTGTTCCTCAGATGTTCTTGTCAACAGCTGGAAATGGCCCACCTTGATTATCACTACAAAAAGTTTTTTCTCCCCCCGCTCTCCTGCTGGTACTAGCTCACCTTACCTGATCACTCTGGTTACAGTGTGTATGGTAACGCCCATTGTTTCATGTTCTCTATGTATATAAATCTCCCCACTGTATTGTCCACTGAATGCATCCGATGAAGTGAGCTGTAGCTCACGAAAGCTTATGCTCAAGTAAATTTGTTAGTCTCTAAGGTGTCACAAGTCCTCCTAGACTTTATATTGGCTTCCTAAGAACAGAATTACTGGAATTGAGTATTAGGGCTCCAGGGATGATCTTGCAGGGTGCTGAGTGCCTTCAACTCCCCCTGAAGTCTGCTTAAGTCCTTGGCAGTTAAGGGCACTCCACATGCTTCAGGAGATGCTGAACATCTCATAGAATCAAATCCTAAAAGCAGCTGCCTTGAACACTGATCACAATCACCTTTGCTAGTTTGAAAAGGCTTATGCAAGAGCAAGGAGCCACTTCTTGCTATTGTTTTGCTTTTGAATGTCTGTCATTAAAAATCTGTATTTATTTTTCTTTCTTGAAAATTTATGAATAGTATTAGACCTATAATTAATCATATTAAGTTATATGAAAATTTTGAAATGTTCTTTGCATAAATTGTGGTTAAAACTCTCTAGAGTATAAGCTTAATATTGTTTTCTGTAATTTACACTGACAAGGGAGGAAGATTAGATCTTTAACACAATTACGCAATGTTTGGCAGATTCTGAGGGTAAATTTGAAGTGATTAGAATAAAGGAATAATTCAAACAAAAAAAAAAGAAAAAAGTAGTCTAAAGGCAAACTTAGTTAAGTACGGATTTATTTGATGCTTGCCCCCTCTTATCAGGGTACATGGGGGAAGGGGAAATTCAGCCAAGAAAAGTGACTTTCCCTACCTGCCAGACTGGTTTTCTGTTCAGCAGAGACAACAACTTGGACAGATTGGTGTTCCTTCCGTCTACAAACAGAACGACCATCATAGAATTTATTTCCATTGAGCAGCTCTCTTTAGGATCTCTTCTTGGCAGGTTCCCCAGGTTCCTTAGCTACTATATACAACAGTTGAAGAAAACCTCAAAACTTTGTGAAACAGGAGCAATCAACAGGAGTGTACATAAAACAAGCAAAGGGTAACATTCTTACCGGGGAAAGGACAATTTAGGGCCTTTCAGGAATAGAACAAGTGAAGGCCCTAATAGAAGCCAGTTCTGGGAGTGTTCCAGATTATATTTTCTCTATAGAAAACTGTTAAAGGTATAAGGAAGTCCCTTTTCTATGCAGCATAGGCTCCAGTTTCAAGAGACGAGAGACATCAATATTCATTCCCATGTAAACTCTGTACTTTGGAAGCAAGACTTGTTTATGTGTCTGCTGCTCAGACTTTACATCCAAAGGCAGTGGTTAGCTCAGTGGTTTGAGCATTGGCCTGCTAAACCCCGGGTTGTGAGTTCAATCCTTGAGGGGGTCATTTAGGGACCTGGGGCAAAAATTGGGGATTGGCCCTGCTTTGAGCAGGGGGTTGGACTAGATGACCTTCTGAGGTCCCTTCCAACCCAGATATTCTATGATCAGATTAAGCCTTTCCTTTCACCTTGTGAAGGCATCTGTCTAGGTAGATTAGACAGACACATAAAATGAGTACCTCAGTAGGGGGGAGGCTGCACTTTTGTGTAGGATTTGGAAAAATCTGGAAAATCGTGTTTAGTATTGAGAATGTACATTCATGTATGAAATCATCTCTGTACCATCTAATCCTTGCATTTTAGAAGCCACAATGACAACTAGAAAGCTTGGGCATGGATACATGTAATCCAACAACAGAGGCTTTCTTTTTTGGGCCCTTGGATCTGGGATCCCTTTTCTGGGCTTTAACTGATGAGCTATTTTTGAACAATGGCATTTGCAGTGGCCATATATTTGTTGACTGTTGTAACTGGTCATTAACAGTAAGCTGCTGCCTTGAGATACTGCCTAAGTGATGACTCTGTCCGTTGCCCATGTTCTTCAACTTCCTTCTAGTTTGGGATATTTTGGCAATGGGTTTGATCAATGAGGGCCACAAGATAGGGAGCAAGATAATTAGTTTTATAATGTAGCATATGTGGTGGATACAGTGTTCATCATTAAAGTCATCCTTTGCCCAAAAAACACAGATTTCCTATATATCTAATATAGGAGGCAACAACGTAGTTTCATTTGGCAAGCACTGATTTTTTTTTAAAAAGATATCTGCTGTGTTGTTTGTGACAGTTTTACTATGTGAGGTGAAAATGCTATGTTGACCAGACTTAGGAAACCTAAGGAGATCATCTCCCTTCACTGAGGAAGAATAGGTGTCTGCCTGGCGTGTGCTGGGACATCGGCACATCTGGAATATTTTAGCTACTACCTATCCCAGTGTGGTGCAGTAGCAACTTTTAAAATGACAGGACTTCCCTTGGGAAGTGTCATAAATATAAAGGGAAGGGTAAACCCCTTTGAAATCCCTCCTGGCCAGGGGAAAGCTCCTCTCACCTGTAAAGGGTTAAGAAGCTAAAGGTAACCTCGCTGGCACCTGACCAAAATGACCAATGAGGAGACAAGATACTTTCAAAAGCTGGGAGGAGGGAGAGAAACAAAGGGTCTGGGTCTGTCTGTAGTCGTCTTGGCCGGGGATAGGCCAGGAATGGAGTCTTAGAACTTTTAGTAAGTAATCTAGCTAGGTATGTGTTAGATTATGATTTCTTTAAATGGCTAAGAAAAGCATTGTGCTGAATAGAATAACTATTTCTGTCTGTGTATCTTTTTTGTAACTTAAGGTTTTGCCTAGAGGGGTTCTCTATGTTTTTGAATCTAATTACCCTGTAAGATATCTACCATCCTGATTTTACAGGGGGGATTTCTTTATTTCTATTTACTTCTATTTTTTATTAAAAGTCTTCTTGTAAAAAACGGAATGCTTTTTCATTGTTCTCAGATCCAAGGGTTTGGGTCTGTGGTCACCTATGCAAATTGGTGAGGCTTTTTATCCAACATTTCCCAGTAAAGGGGGGGTGCAAGTGTTTGGAGGATTGTTCATTGTTCTTAAGATCCAAGGGTTTGGGTCTGTAGTCACCTAGGCAAATTGGTGAGGCTTTTTACCAAACCTTGTCCAGGAAGTGGGGTGCAGGGTTTTGGGAAGTATTTTGGGGGGAAAGACGCGTCCAAACAGCTCTTCCCCAGTAACCAGTATTAGTTTGGTGGTGGTAGCGGCCAGTCCAAGGACAACGGGGGGGAATATTTTGTACCTTGGGGAAGTTTTGACCTAAGCTGGTAAAGATAAGCTTAGGAGGTTTTTTTCATGCAGGTCCCCACATCTGTACCCTAGAGTTCAGAGTGGGGGAGGAACCTTGACAGGAAGCCAATCAGGAATGCTTCTACTCGTGCGAATGAAGCAAACAGCCCACCATATCCAGGCTGACAAATTCTGGATACTAACCTGTGAGAGGGAAGTAATATGCTGACCTCAAATTACACACATTTAAGTATAATATGTGCTATTAATGCTGTTGTATAAGTGTTATTTTTTGTATTTGGACTTTAATAAAGCCATATTTTGTTACCAATCCATTGCATCCTCGCTATACTATGTCTTGAGGCTATGCATCGTTAAACAGTTTAAAACAAACAACTGCCAAGCTGTTTTGTGTAGAGGGTATTTTGGTGTGAAAATTACAGCTCTCTACCTGCATAATCTACCTTTCACTTTAAAAATAAGTTAGATGATAGAAAAAATCTGTTGGCTTTTGTACTGTGAGCCTGAAGAAGTGTTATTTATTTTATTATTTTTGTTTGTCAGTTATTCTGGTGAGGAGAATGGTTTCCCATAGCTCTTCTTACCTGTTGGCAGCAAACCATCCTCCTTAGTACATCCCAAGTGTGTGCGTTTTCATATCACCACGTACTTTTTCCCTCTTTTTTTCCCTTTGACACAGCAAAACCAAATAAACTTTGAAGAGGCCTCTCAAGGGACTTGTGAGCTGTTATAAAATTGATACTTAGATTTTAGCAGTTCTTATTTTTTCAATGTGGTCTGGAATGACTATCCCTCTGATTACTGTCTGCATTTTGTTAAGGAAATTATCTTAATTGAACTTTCAGCATATAAATACATGTAAAGCAAAACATGCAACTTTTCTTAATAAATACTCACTTGTGGTTAAAAAACAAAAAGGGGGGTCACTTATTTTAATAACGTAATCAAAAGGTATTTTACTGCTATTGTGTAAGAAGCTGTTACTGAAGTTGAAGTTAGACATATTGTGTGACTTTTTTTTTTAAATTCGAAGTAGTTTGCCAACTCCCTCGGGCCCTTAACTTTGACATTTATGTAATCTGCATTATGCAAACTAATACCCGTTCCTTAGTCAGTCAGGTTTTCAGACTTTGAAAAGTTCCTTAAATAGCTAACTGATCATTTTCAGCCACCAGATTTTCATCAATCTTCCACATGAGAGGATTAGAAGTTCCAAATATGTGCAAGATCTGACCTCTCCACTCCAGCTAGTTCATCCTTCTTGCACTTTATGATCTCTTTTCGCTTGTCACTTGCTTGCAGCTTGAACTGTAATTTCAACAGGAATATTTTGTTTCTAATTTAATCAGACTTTACTCCAGCTATCATTTTTCTAACAGGCCATCCACAGCAGACAGGAAGTACTTAAACCCAAAATCTATACATCTGAGATCTGAGGCAGTTAAGTTTTGTTTTCTAGATGATGTCTTGCATGTCAGTCTGCTATGCTCACTTTGCTGTGCAAAAGGTTATTTAACTATGCCAGGGAAGGAGGCATTACAGGCAGAGATCTGATGAGTTTGGGGAATAACACCCCCCCCCCCCCGAAATCCTTGTGCCATTAAAATCAGTTGATAGGGAACAGTGATTCTAAGCTAAAAAGATATGTACACAAATGTTTTATCTTCAGCAGAGGGATGGAAAAAGTGAAAGTGAGAATTTGCATGCTCCTTGTAGAAGTAATCAAATGCTGAGATATTACAGTGATGGGCGTGGTGCAAGTACATGGATGAATAGATAGCCTTAATGTTATAATTATTCTCCTCACTGTTTTTATGTCAGTGTCATTCTATTGACTTCAGTGGAGTTACTCCTGATTTACACCAGCATGAAAGGAGAATTGGCGCCACTAGGCTGCATTCCTCTTAACATTCCTCTGGGGTTACACAGTATGAGAGCAGAATTTGACAATACCATCTTTTTACAGTTTGTTTCACAGCCTTAGAAAATGTAAAAGAAATTCTTCTATTTAAGAATTTTACCCCTGCAGACAGTTGGCTCTGGTAATATGTGCAGGTAGCTTGACTAATAAGGATAACAGCATTAAATAGGAAGCCTCTCAGGTTTCTGCCCTGAGTTTCTACTGTGGAACCAATGGCAGTCCTGCGGTTAATGCTAGACAGACGCTTCATGTTGATTTTATAAAACATTTTGCCATTTAGAACTCTGTATTTTTCCTGGAAGACTTGAGGAAAAGTCAGAGTTATTAAGGACATGGAGGAGAATTTATACTGTTACTTTCCTGTCTTCAGGACATTTCACTCCATTTGAGTTTACGTAATAAGATTTGTTCCTCTCAAAATGTTTTGCATTCCTAAGTCATTTTAACTTTTATGCATAAACTAAAAATCAAAGTAATGCCTTTCTCCTGGGAAATGCATTGGTCTCAAGAAATATATAAATGTTCAATAATGATTATCTATGTCAACTGCTATAATGATAAACCAACAGACTGCAGCAAAAGAACAAAGTGCACATCACGTAAAACTAACAGAATTCCTACTTGATGAATGTAGCTGAGTTCTAACAAATTAAATTTATCCTACAAGTTAATGAAACTATAGCAAATATACAAAAAGTTGTACCTTTGCCTGTACTGCTCTGTGGAGGTCATGAATATCTCATGAAAATAAAGTCATTACTCAAAGGGCCAAGGAACATGTCTTATCTATGCTAGTAAAGCACAGTGAAAGTTAATAATGGGACTACTCACATGAGGTAGATTAACAGGCTTTATTCTTGGATTTGCCACAGCTCTGGAACTGCCAAGCAGTATGAAGTTGTCATATAGTAACACTCAGGACAATGTCATCTTATTCTGAAAGTTACCCAACAAATTCTGGTATTAACAAAATCATCATCTTGAGATGTGAATAGGTTATATAAATTTCACTACTGCTAATTACAGACAGTGTAGGCAGTGGTGGTGAAGGTTGCTTAAAATTAAACTGAAGCAAATTTCATGGGGGGGGGAGATAAAGGGGACACTGTCAATTTAAATTTCATCCAAAATTTAAATTAAAACAAGTACAAAACCCAAGAGCCATGTTGTGATGACAGTAGGACCTTTGGAGTAGGCACAACTATTACACACATTTCTGTGAGTTTTTAAATTGAAATGCGAACAGTTATTTTTAAATAAATAAGCATTGCATTGCAAGCTCTGGTATGCAGACATTGAAAGTGAACCTGACTATAAAGCAAAGTGAAATTGACTTCATTCACCTTTCACTGACCATACTGATAGTCTGATCCAGCACCTGCAGAAGTCATTGGAAAGGGTCCCTTTGACTTTAATGGGTGTTGGATCAGGCCCATATGACATAAACAGCTAAAAGTAAATTGGAATTAAAAATTCTTTCCAGTGTAGTAATATAAAGCACTGTTATCAATATAGATAGATAAATATGTTTAACATGTAGGATTTTTTATCTCACACCTTTCACTTGGCTCTGTACTTACTGGTTTCAGTGAAAATACCAGGAGAGAGGCTAGTCTTTCTCTGAGTTACCTTAAACCAGGAAGGCCTTTTGACTTCTGCTGTGTGTTCTTTACAGCCTCTCATGGCAGGGGAATGGCGCATGGAGCAATTATTCTGTGAATGATAGGAAATGCCAATAGCCAGCCCTTATTAGTTTGCTGCTAGGCTACTTTTGGTAGCTTACGAAGGGATCTGGCAATGTTCATGATATAGGAAATTACTTCTTTTAAAGTAGGAGAACAAGAGCAGAAGCATTAGCTGCTTAAGAGGCTAGTGGGCTTTCTTACTCCTATATTTTGGGAATGTTTGCACAGTTGTGTAAATGATGGCGTGTGCTATAGGGCCAAAAGGGTCTGTCTCAATGGAGCTCCCCAAAAAAGCAAATATGGTGGCCAGCTAATTTTTAAAGTATTCAGTTCAGTAGCTCGTTCTATATGAGTGAGTTCTATCTACTGCATGACCAAGCAGCTAGGGGCATGACAATGACAGCCTACAATACAACGAAACTGGGAAAGCCTGGGTCTTCATTCTGTCCAGGCTTTCAGCATTCCTCCACACTGCAGTTTGACACTCTCTTTATTAGTGCTAAGTATCAGGGTGCAGCCATCTTAATCTGTATCCACAAAAACAAGGAGTCCGGTGGCACCTTAAAGACTAACAGATTTATTTGACCATAAGCTTTCGTGGGTAAAAACCCCACTTTAGTGCTGCCGTCAAAGCCTATGCTGCCAAATATCATTCAATGATGTTAAACCCTTTCTCCAGATGTGGAAAATATAATAGACAATCTGAGGGGAAACTTAGACCTCAGCCAGACCATTTTAAATGATTTCCATTTACAGTAAAATGTGTTTTAAGGTTAGTTAATATTTTAAATGTGGAATTTTAATTGTGCACCATGTCTGAATTTTAAAAAAAATTCCATTGTGCTTTTGTCAGCTCTCCATAGGCTCTTAGGGCAGGAAGAACTTTTAAAGAACAGTTTGCTCACCAGACAGCCTTTCTGTAAACTCTCCCAACTCTCTCTCTTCCACCTGTAAGTCCCTTCCGACAATGTATGCTTTGAACTCCATCAGCTGGGCTCCTGCTGTTCATCTTCCTGAAAACTGGCCCAGAATTTCAGTAGAGACCTATAAATTTCATTTTGTGTAAAAATAGTAATAAAAATTAAATTCAAGGAAGATGCAGGTGGATAGTGTCTCTCAGGTCAGCTCTTCTGGAGAAATGGCATTTTTCCAGCAGCTGCTGTTTAGTATTAGGTACTTGTGAGTCTAATTCTATAAGCGAACTGTATACTGGAGATAATATATTGCTCTTTCCCCCTTCTGATTAATCAAACATGCTGGAACAATCTGCACAGAATAGGATTGTTGGTGATTTTTGCCAGATCTTGCTGCATTTTGAAATGATGCCATCATATGCTTGATAAATGTTGGTTAAATAACATTCAAACTGTTCCTGGATTATAGTTGTGGCAGCAAAATGACTACACATACTCTCATGAAAGTAGAAATGTTTCACAGTGAGTTAGAAATATTGTATCTGGTTGATTTATATATGTTATATTCTAAGCTACCTAGTTGCTTAAATGAGCTTACGGTAATGATGGAAGGGTAAAGGCTTGAGGAGGCTTTCACACCAAGGAGAATTATATTCATGGCGCCATTTAATATCTATTTTTATATGATTTTTGTCTAGTATCAAAATTATTTGGGCCAAGTTCTACTGCATTATCCATATGCAACTACATTGACTTCAGGTGGGTTGGCTGCATTCACATCAGTAACTCTCTCCCTCACAACCACTTCTTCACATGCTTAATCCTGCTGGGGAAAATTCTTGCATGTTCACAACTTACCTTTTAGGGAAACGGCATATATGTACAGCGTGGAAATTTAATGTGGCTTAAAAAAAAACAGACATGCAAGTGTAAGGAAAATGTTGGATCCAGGATTAATTCATGGGTGACACTTGCCAGCAGAGATTCTTCTAAGGAGGACATGCTTTATCCTGTTTTGGGTCCAACACTGTGTGTGTATATTGGCACTTGGCATACCTGTCACTTTTGCAGCACACACATTCACATCGCCAGCTCTGCTCCCATCTGGCTTCATGTTGGTTGAGGGTTTCCCAAAATACTTTCAAGTCTGAAACTTACTAGACTGATTTATATCAAGAAAGCTCCTTTGTTTTACAGTCTTCACTTGAAGTGTTTTGACATCATTTTGGTCTCCAATAGCCATTGCTGTAGCATCCATCCTTGCTGCTCTTCGTGTGGCTAATAGCTGCTCTATTTTGTTTCTGTTCTGCTGGAACCTTCCTTTCTCCAGCACCACTTCTCCTCCTGCAGATTGTGTTACTAACGAGTATGCATGAATCTCTCTTGTTTACTTGACTTGGGCTCTTCTTGCTGCTCAAAACTGCCAGCTACACCTTTTCTTCACATTAAGTTACATCATCATACAACAATGAAACTTCAGCAATATACTCCTCACTTCAGAAGGATTAAAGGATACCCTTACATCAGGCTGTCTTTTGCAAAGGATTTTAACGGCAATGAATTGCTTAAGCCTGGACAAATAATTTCACTGTGACTCATGCCTGAGGCAAAGCACAGAACTTGCAGTTCCCAGAGTGGGGGTGGGGTTACACTGGTTTTAAGAGATCAGTGTGATCTCTTACCCTTAGGCTTTCTAGGGGTTTTCAGAAGGCAGCCTCACTCTGGTCTTCCTCAGCCCCTGCACTAGGGGAATTGTCTCCCAGCCACAAAAAGGGTTTTTAGGGCACCTTTATGCCACTCTGGCCCCTTTACCTGGGGTACAGTTAATAGAGCTGGCATGTTTACTTCCTAAATGTACAAGAAGAACATATTTACTTATAACATGTTTTTCATTTGAGCATATGACTGAGTTTTTCATATTTTTCATTTAGCTTTGAAATAAAAAAACCCAACATTCTTTCAAAGAACAAAATGCATGAAACAATAAATCATACACAAGAGAAGTAAATAATATAAATATATTATCTCCTGTTTTAAAAGACCACACAAATGAACACATACAGACAGCTAAGTGTATAAAAAACAGTGAGCATCTTTTAGCGAATATGTAATTTATAGATTATTAGCATTAAAATTCAAACTAGAAAGATAAACCATCACAAGATGTTATTGATATTCAGGGAGCTAGGATAGACACAACCTTTCAGCATCTGAATCCAGGTAATCACTTATATAAAATAAGGTCTTTTATTATTATTATTAAGCTAAAACAGATTATAATTTGTTTCTCTGTGTGTCTTTCTACATGTCATTAATTAAAAGAAACGTAGTGGGAAATAATAGTGAGCCAGGAAACCTAGGCCCAGGTCTTGCAACTAGAAGCATGTGAGCAAACCCCTGCACTTGCATGGAGTCTCATATTTAAGTCAATGAGAATCCACTAGTGCAGGAGGCCACCCGTGCAGTGAATTGCAGGATCAGGGCCCAGATAATAACTTAGATGACAACGCTAATAGCTTTCTAATGGAGATTCTGAGTTGTTGTTAGAGATATTATGAAAAAACTGATATTTTACCAAACTGCATTTCAGTTTTTCTTCTATTATGTTGTGAAAACAACTACAATCCTACAAATTATAATAGAAGTATTTTGCAAAAGGGTACAGGATATAGTTCCAGTATGTTTAAAGAAACAAAGTGAACCTTTAATTAAGAGATTCTTAATAGCAATAGTCTGAGGTATCCAAAATCTGAATATTTGTAGATTTAATAAATTTTCCATAAATTCTTAATTACACAGAACAAGCATATTGTTTTAAGTGCATCAGTAAGTTTGAATGCTGCTCTTCTCTAAAGGGGAGGCTCTGATCTATCATTAGTCTTACAGTTTTGTTTTTTGTACATCATTAGTATGTTCTAAATGTACAAGGTTTCTTGGTTTTGTTTTTTAAATTAGAGTCTGAAATTTGTCAAATATAGTTTGAGGAACTTTTACTGGAGAGAAAAATAATAGTCAGTGGGATATAAGGAACAGAATGTGGTAAAGAAATGAAATCAGATTTCTATTCAGAAGACAAACAGTCCTGAGATAGCTGGAGAATGAATGGGCTATCAAATCTGCATTTTCAGGGACCTTGAGGTATCTTACAGTCTCATCAAAGTGTGCATAATGTTGATGGAATTTATTTGTGTATCAGGGCAAGGATGAATCTCATATGTTTCTATTTACCTTCAATATTGGTATTTCTGCTATCACAGTGCTGTCTATGGCCTGCTGGAAGTGATCTAATACATGGAAGTACTATAGCAATGTGATTAGAATATCTCATCATATTTATAATTTGTCCAACACACAATGATGCTACCCTACACAACTTATTTTCCTTACATAAAATACGCTGTCTTTTGGGAAATTTTAGTTATTAGCCTTAATATAAAATGCACCCCAGGATGTCTTGTTGTTCTTCCTTTTTTTTTGTACTTACTCTATTAGGTACCTAAACTCCATTTAATGCTCATATTAATTTATTATTCTCACCAGGGAAACCTAATAATATTACAGGAGGCAGTAGTGAAATTAATATTGTACTTCCTAAATCTGATCTTAGTAAAAGTAATTAGCTTGGTTTTATTTCTGAAAATTTTTTCAAAATCTGTCTCTTTGTGGAGTTAGCAAAGTTGCACTCTGGAGTTTAGCCTGGTAACCTAAGAGGGTTAAACATTGGACAATTTTGCAGGTGTATGCATTTTCAAGCAGCAAAGCAATTTGGTTTGCTGTTAAGTCCCTTTAAATAGAGCGATTTCTTCAATTTTCTGAAGTAGTAAAAAGCATGTGATGTAAGTTATTAAAGACTTTACGTTTGGTGTTTTAGAAACACAGATAATTTGCTGCAACAAAAATGTTTGAGTTTAAGGAACTGATTTGAATTATTGAAGTCAGTAGCACTACTTAAGTGCAATGCTGGATCGGGGCCAGAGTGCTCATCGCTAGGCTGGATTGAGCTCCCGAACTTCAGAGAGGTCATAAATTGGCCTCTAATATTTCAGAGCAATTTTACATAGCCATTTTTTGGGCAGGAAGTTTTTGATTGCAAGGTTTGCACAGGCAGAAACGCATTTTTGCACGCAAACTGTATCTGTATGGGCTGATGGGCTTTGTACATACACAAATGCGAGGTTCTGAGCCAAGTACTTTTAGAGGTTGCTTTTATATACACAGTTTTTAAATCATTACTAATCACTTATAGCTAGACTGTGCCCAGTGTTGGGCTGGTGTATGGTTGCCCAGGTGGTAGCAAGTGTAGAGAGTGGAATTTGGTAATACGCAGGAAAAAAATGACAGGGCTCAGCAAGAGCTTGGATGTAAGGAGAAAAGAAGAATGAGGAGTCAAGACTAAAGCAAGTTAGCATTGATAGGAGAGAGGAAAGAGGGGCAACTGAAAGGAGACAAGATGCTCTCTTACGGAGAAACTGAATTTGAGACAGTGGCCAGCTGTCCAAGAAGAAAGGCTTTTAAAGTTGTGAACCCTGGACAAGAGGGAGAGGTCAAGGCTAGAAAGAGAGATTTGAGAATCATCTGTCTAGGAGGAATGGGTGAAATCATCGGACAGGATAAATTAACCTAGGATGAAATACACCCGTAGCAGAAGTCCAGCACAAGATGTTAAAATAGGACTTAAGTGGGACCAGTCCTCCATATAGGGGTCAACTTCACCCTTAAAGGGGAAGAGAAGGATGGGGACATGCTGAAGGTGCAGTCAGAAAGTTAGGAGTGGAACTTGGAAAGCTCAGAGAACAGAGTAAGTATAAGAGAAGATTAGGGATTAATGATGGCAAAGGCAGCAGACAGATGAAGAATAGAAACAGATTAGTGTCTTTTCCACATAGCTAGGCTGATACAAATGGAAATTTGGCCATCTAGATTTGCATAAAAATCAAATCCAACTAGAGATTCATCTCATTCAAAGAGACAAAGAGAAGAGGAAAGAGTGGAATTTGTGCCTATATTGTTTAAAATTAGTTTGTGTGCATGATTTAACACATACTGAGAATGTTACCGAGTCAATTTGGCATGGCCATAGATGCTGATCCAAATGTAGAGACTGGAATAGAGATTTTACTGAAATTGAGATGAAAGGTCAGTGTATGTCGAGAACAGATACAGAACTTTTACCCAGAAAAAAAATATGAACATATAAACTGTGGTTTAGATGGGGAGTACTTTGCTGAAA